TTATATATAAGGATAGGCCTAGAACTTAAGGTAAGCTTAGGCCTACTTGAACTTATACTTGGAGGTAAAATTGAAAACAATGGTTGGCTATGTTTGGTTAATTTTATCAATGTTTTACATATTTAGGTAGTTTTTAGCAGCTTGAATTCGAATCCTATATTGGCTGCACTGTACTGGAACGAGTGAACTTTAATCGAAGATCAGTGAATCAGAATATGACGTCACTGGTATCTAATGGATACGATACTAAAGGTATCGATACTTTAGTTCCGATACTGAGCCGGTATCGATACTTTTTTACGATACGGTATCGATACCAAATATCAGAAAGACAGTGGTATCGCAACATCCCTAACCCTCCCTGTTGCAGCAAACCTAAGTACTCGTTAAACTAATTTTATTTAAATAGGAAATAAATTTGATACTTTTAAGGGGACATTTTTTTGTGTAAATCCAATTAGGCAAATGGAAATTCGCTGAGACTGCAGGTTTGCTGCGGCGGGGGTATTTCATAAATACCTGGGAATTTATTATTAGCAACACGTTACAAACAAATTTTAATCTAGTATTTTCCCTTTAAAAAGCTTTGTGTATTTCATTTTAGTTTATCAAATTATTAGGAAATACAAAAATAAAGGCTGATTATTCAAACTACGTGAAAATTATGTGTACATTTATTACTAAATTTTTATATTTTATTCTTAATTATTTTGATATTTTTAAAATGTATACAGTGGACAAACTAAACTGTATCTCTATGTGTTGATGTGTATAGGGTTTATTGATTAAGCTTATTTTAACTTCTATCTTCTATCTTTAACTTCAGTGGTTCTACTGGAAATTCTAAATTTGAAACTGTCACACTCGATGTATCAATTTGAACATTGAGTACACCGTTTTAATAAAATTGTTGACAGTAATATTATTCATACTAGTGTACATGTTGCTCGATGCAAAGTATTACAGGAGTTATTTCAAAACGAATTGAACAGTCATATTTAACTCAGAATATTAACTGTAACTCAGACCATGTTTATCTTCAAAGCATTCCGGCCGGTTTTCTCCTTTTCAAAATGCCTCACTGTACAGGCAACACAGGTCATTAATAGAGGGCCAATTGAGAACGAAAAATCGTTTTGGGGTAGTGTTATGGCGCATTTGTAACCGAATAGTTGAGGTTGTCCAGGGTCAGGTACTGACTGTGATGAGTTAAGCCTATTACCCGCCACTGTTCTGTAGCTGCGGTCGTTATCACGATTACGCCTCCTGTCTATGTTTCGTTGTCGTCGCATCGGAGGCATTTAAAAGAAAAAAAAACAACAAATAAACAAATTATAGCTACACAAAACAATGATAAATGCACAAATTTAAGTTACAATCATGCTAACACGATCCGTCATAGTGACACAAAACAACGATAAATACACAAATTTAAGATACAATCATACTAACACGATCCATCTTGGTGGTTATGTTTACACAAACTCAAATAGTACATAAATGTACTCAATGCGTTTCATTGAATTGAAAAATAAATAACAACAATTAAAATAAACAGCTCATCAAAATGTAAACAATTATGTTCTTCATAAGGATAACATGGGAACTTTCAAAGCCACTGGGGGAGAGCCCAAGGAACTTTTTCAAAAATGTAAGGCCAGTTTGCAAATCTACGCAACACGCTCTTTCCAATGAGACGTCAATGGATAAAATCAGTTAAGAAATGGCGGAGGAGTTCAACCGACAAAGTTTCATGTAGCGTATTAATTATATAGATAGGTGGTCTAAGCATTTAACAAAATACGGTATTTCCAAATTAGACATACTAAGTGTTGCCAAAATTAAATTCTTCTAAACTTGACTAGGCCAATTCATTATCCATGTTTATAATATGTAACACAAGTAAATTCACTTGCTAGTACAGGCTGCGCCAAAATAACTTGACGGTTTTTAGTATTAAATAACTCAAGAACAAAATAAAATTGTATGTACAAATGGACAAAAAGTATTTCAAACTACAATGCAGTACTTGGTTTGCATGTGTAGGCAGTGACCAAAAACAGTAAGTTATAAAAATATGTTTATATTTCTTCGAAATCACCAGTGAATCAAAACTTAACCAACACTTAACCAACATATAACCAAATACCCCCGCCGCAGCAAACCTGCCGTCAAAGCGAATTTCCATTTGGCTGAATTGATTTTCAATTGATCTATTTAAATAACATTAGGTTTAACGAGTACCTAGGTTTGCTGCTACAAGGAAACTAATAAAGTGTGTGTTTTAAGTAAAATAATTATTGCTTAGTATAAAATGAATATATATGCCAAGTTTGATCAAAAGATATCCATAAACAAGCAAACTACAACATTTTACAATATTCTCCATAAGAATAACATGGGAATTTTTAATTTAACATTTTTTTAGTTTTCTCCGTAACCAATAACCATACAAAAACACTTTGATATACTGAATTGTTTGTTTTTTTAAGCTCTTTAAGAAGGTTTAGAGAAAAATTTGAAAATTTTGTGTTTTGAGGGTCAAAAGTGAGAAAAACCAATTTTTACCCCATAAAACCCCCCATAAAATCCAGTTCCCAACCAACTAATTTAGTCCAATATGGGTCTGAATTGGATATGGTAGATGATCACAGCATGTATTAATGATTAATATTCTCCTAAAATTTGTAGGCCTATAGGGCAACATTATTGCTAGTAATAATCGAGAAACAATTTGCTGATTTTTCATTTGACTATGGAAGACTTAAGATATTATATTTAGGCTGTCTCGTCTATTAATATGATGTAGGTACTCTTATTCAGTTAACAAGATAAAGCATTTATATGAACTAACTAACATACAGTAGAACTCCAATTATTCGAACTCTAATTAACCGAATCTCCAATTATCCGAATCGCTTATTTCAACAATTTTAAAAACATAGGTACAGTAATAAGTTTTGCAAAATATCAAAGAATTGTTATTAAACACATTTAGCCAATTTTGGACTTTGATGGAACAATATTGACTTAATAACATGTATAGAACACTTGTACTATAAACATTGTAAACTGTAAAAATGTTCTGATTTAAATTATTATTAATTAAAAGTTCACTTAGTACCGAAAATGAGGATTTTTCTTTACAATTCCCGGAATTCCGGTAAAACTCCGATTATCCGAATTTTTGATTATCCGAATGGGGTCTGGTCCCTATTGATTCGGATAATCGGAGATCTACTGTATTAACTTTGACGATTGATAGAACAATCCTAACCGTCTATGGCTTTTAGCTTAGGATAATATCATGAACTATTAAAATTTGAATGAAATTAATTGAGTAGAGTTTTAGCATGGATTAAACATTATTCTCTTATTGATAAGTCATCATCCGTATGGATCAGAAAGACAGTTTCAATTTTAGTTACGGCCAGTTTTTATATAGGGATGTGTTTTTGTTTGCAATTTGTTTATTGTTATTTGTAGACATGCCCCTACAGGTACCAAAAGGAACTAACATTAAACTGTCTTCTTTCTTCTGATGTACACGGATGACCAATCTAGGAGAATATTTAATCCATGGTGTTAGTTATTCAATTGTTTTATTTTTACGTATTCAATTTTTCAACATTTTAGCTACTACAGTGTAGTACTGTTTAGCTTGGCATTGACTATTGGCTACTGAAGCTGTATTTATAGTCAAAGCTATTAGGTAGGTGCGCCAAAAGTCAATTAGGTCAATTGACTTAGGCCTAATCTTCAGCAAAGGTAGCCTTAAAAAACCTTCAAATGGACGATTAACATTATTTGCTCAATATAAGAATGATATAAATATTATTAACTCTCTCAATGCACCGTTAAAACATGGTTACAACGCGGTTTTTACCAATAAGTTGGCCGAAATCTTTAAAATTAAAATTCAGGGGATTTTTCGGGTATTCAAGACTTGATTCCGGGTAATTCCAGGGATTACCACCGGATTTTGCGGGTGAAATGGACAAGTTGTGTTGGCAACGCTGTTGGAAGCAAGGCCCGTAATCCCCCGCAGCAGAGGCTCAGTCACAGGAATAGCACTAACAGAAGGGGAGGCAACAGAAACAGGAACATTAACAAACTTTGACTTTACTTGACTCGAGAAAACATTTTCATTCCGCCAAATGTGACCTGGTTGCCCTCAACCAAAACAGACAAAGGGCTGCCTCTGCCACTGCGGCGGTTCAGGACCCAACTCCACGGGTGCTACAACGGGGTAGGGACCAGCCGGGGAAGATGCCCCAAAGCTTGGCCTCTCTGAAAATCAGCGTCCTGGACGCTCCTCGAAAGAATGGAGAGTCTACCCAGATCCGCCAAAGAAGATGGTCTCGGCGCAAACACCAACCTAGAGGGTTCCTCAGGTTACAACCGCTTAATCGCAATGTCAATGAGCTCAAGCTTACTGATGCCCAGACGCAAGACACTTTCCACCGTACAAATGTCCCCCACGTACTGGCTGAGAGACCCGGCAGTCTGTTGAGGACGGAAACCCCTCTCTACCTTCAGTTTCTCCTTGACCTGGCAGGGCATAAAAAGCTCCAAAACTTCCTTTGTGAAAAACATCAAAACTTACACCATCTACCCAAGCAATCAGGCAATCTATCCCCCAACGGTTTCAGACAGTATGGAGCAATGAGCTCCATCAAAGTTAAATCGGACATGCCAGGGTACTCACGCATGCGCAACACATTCTCCAGAAAAAACAAAGAACAAAAAAGCAGCAAACCTGAGCACTAGTTAAATTGAATGTTTCATTAAATGGGGAATAAATATATCTTGTTTTGGAAACATTTCAGTAAAAATCCATCAGATTATGTGAAATTTGCTTAGTATGCATGTTTGCTGTGGCGGGGGTATTATTAATTGCAGAAGTGACCACAGTATGCCTCCAAGGGTATTTAAAAATCAGCGTGACAATACACTAGGCCTAGTTGTTTCTGTTATCTAAACATTTTGACATTACTCACTGTTGTATTAGGTGGGTGAGTGACCTTTCCATTGGGATTGACAATAGTGCTTGGAAACTTGTTAAAGAAAAAAGGTTCCACGGGATATGGTTTCTTCTGCTCATCACAATGAGCCTTGTAGTTGAGTCCCACACATAGGATCTTATCTGGTCTGGTCACAGGGGCTAGCAGCTCTACTTCAGACAAGGATGTCACAGATTTACCTGCCGCTACAATTCTATAACAAGGTTGGAAAATGTAGCATGGAACAAATAAAAATGTATCAACAAAATGTATCAGTAGGCCTATTAAGAACAAAAATTCTAAACAGTGACGCTGCCTGATTAATTTTTATTATAATACTTGATTGTGATCTATAAGTATAAAAGAGGATGTTTGTATATATATTTGGCAGTGATAAACTCAGACACCGCTGAACCGATTGCCACGAAACTTGGTACATACGTGTAAAATATCATGGAATAGGTTTATACACCATCAATTTCGTGATCCGTCCAATCGGCTCCGCCCCAATGGCTCTGGAGTTTCCCATGTTAACCTTATGAGAAATGGAATTAATGAATCTTAACAGCTGTTTCAATTAAACAAGTTGGTTCTGTTCTATGATGTTCAATAGCATTAAAGTTACAAGGATTACCAACAGGGTGCAGCACTATTATTTCTTTTACATTTATGACAACAGCTAATTTGCAACCAAAAGGTGAGTGAGCATAGCGAACGAACTTCAACCTGAAGGCAAGTGAGCGCAGCGAACAAGCTCCAACCTAAAGGTGAGTGAGCGTAGCGAACGAGCTCCAACCCAAAGGTGAGTGAGCGTAGCGAACGAACTTCAACCAGGAAGTGATTGAGCCATGCGAACGAGATCATCTTGAAAATTAAGGTGTTAAACGGGGCAAAGCCCGCGGGTTACAGCTAGTATGTTAAATGAATGAAATTGAAATACTTGAAAATGACATCTGACACGACCGAACGTTGGTGCCTTACTGACCTGTGACACTCACACCCCCGAAGAACTCGATCGCCGCCGCCGTACGTGTGAACGGCTTCATTGAAGTTGAAACTGAAACTGGTCCGTCGTCACAGCCTAGCAGCTGTGACAAGCGTCTAGGCAGCCAATGCAACTCCGAGGATCGTGGATCAGAACACCCCCCAACACCACACCATGTCGTACGCTTCCGAATCATACCGGCGCATCAGCATAGCCTAACTGTTCGCGGAAAATTGTTATCTCTATCACTGTCCCTGTCAAAATGTATCGTTTGTAGGTTAAATTTAAAATAATTAAACTGTCATAACCTAACCAAACTTTGCTGATAATGAAACACTCTAATAAAGGTTTACTGATCGAAAAAATAGTTCTGTTCTAAAAATAAAATTATAAGTGTCACAAATTAAATTTTATAATTTTTTAATTATAAAATTAAACTGTCATAACCTAACCAAACCAACCAAACTTGCTGATATGAAAAAGATTGTTGACAAAAAGTTAGTGCTACCAGCGGAATTCGAACCCGGCACCTTTCGGTTATCAGCCCGACACGCTATCCACTACACCACCAAGGCTCATGACTTGACTCCGTATCGTTGCGGTAATGGTTGACGTCACGCGATCGGCACGGAGCGGTGGTGGGGGGTTTCCGATCTGATCCATGATCCTCGGAGTTGCACTGGCTGCCTAAACGCTTATGCAGCTACGCTCGTGTAAACTAGGCCTAAGCGCGGGGCCCAGTGCAACCCTGAGTAAAAGTCCCTTAAGAGTCAAGGATCTTGTTCTTAGTAATGCCTTAAAATTCACCTAACAATAGCCTTAACAATAAATGTGATGTGGAAAGCGAATAGGGACCTCTTGTCGGGAATTTTCGATTTTGAGTTATATATATCCTATATTTGAATTCCTTATTAAATTCCGAATCGATTGGTGCAAGTTCCACGCATGTATGATTTTTTTGTTTAAAGGACTTTGAAATTTTGTTATGGAAAAGGGTCATTTTGAGAAAAACTGATTTTAACATTTCAAATACACATAAAAACGGTGTTTTCCGTATGTAATAAATGATTTTGGTATCAAAAGAAAGCTTATAATGTCCTCTTTGAAAGAAATGCAATTTACTTTCTTTTCATTTAAATAACTGTTTTATTGAAGCATGTCGTAAAAATCGCATTTCAGAAAAGGGACCTCTTGTCAGCCCTATGTTATTTCGCCATAAGATAAGAAAAGGTACCTCTTGTCGGGACCACAAAATTTGTGAGATATTTTGTTCTTCGAGAACTGAACTTTTTTGTAGTTCTCTAAATTTCCACTAGAATGCAGGACAATTCATTTTTTGGACTAAAATCTGTTTAAAAAGTGAATATTAGAAATGGGACCTCTTGTCGTTAAGGCGAAATAACATTGAGCGACAAGAGGTACCTTTTCTCAGACCGTACAGAGGCTAACAAAATTATTAATTTTGACTTTTTGCATCTTCAATTCGAGATTTTAACCGATACTGTCATGTTCTATGTTAAATGAGGTATAATAATCGATAAAAACCCGAAATTCGATATTTTGGACCTTAATTTTATATCAGCTGTACTGAAAATTTTACATCTCAGACAAGTGGTCCCTTTTTGCTTTCCACATCACAAATATAGGATAACGACAATAAAGAGGTTAAAAAAGAAGGCCATTCGGTAAGTGTCTGATTAATTTTCTAAGTTATTAATAAAAACTACTGTGCAAGGGGGCCCCGGGTGCTCGCCTCGTCCGCCCTTCGATAAGTTCGGCCCTGATAATAACCCTATGCCTCAAACTACGAGTACGTTGAAACGTCGCAAAAAAAAACCTTATTGGAAAACGAGAGCGATCCAGTAAGCTTCACTTTTTCTAGTATGAATGCTACAGTAAGCTGGATTGGCGTTATTTAAACAAAAAAGTAACCGTCGATTTTAGCGGGTTTCTTCTATTATATACATATATATTTTGCAAAGGGGCGCTACTATTAAGCTAGTTTTGCCTAGGGCGCTGACAGGATCAAAAACACCTACCTATGTAAAAAAAACTACCCACTAAACTCATGCTGGACCATTCTAACTTACTTAAGTAGCCTAATCATAATTTCCAAATTTTGCCCAAAAACCAAACATAAAAACATTAGTAGGCCTACTGGTAATTCAGGGAATATACCTGTAGGCCTTTGCCTACAGTATACACACAACAAAGTAGGCCTTTGCTTTAAAAGTGTGATTCCAGGATTTTCCTGGATTCTAAAAAATGTTGGCTGCACTTTACTTTACGTCCTACACTCATTCAAATGAAAATATCAATCGATATATCGATTATTCGATAAGTTATATCGTTTGGTTAGTTAGGTAAGGTTAACCTAACCAACCAAATGATATATTGAATGAAATAATCGAATAATCGATATTTTCATTCGAATGAGTGTAGGACCTAAAGTAAAGTGCAGTCAATGAAACAATCGAATGATTGATATTTTCATTCGAATAATAAATAGGACGTAAAGTTAAGTGCAGCCAAAATGTTTCCTGATAACCGGGAAAATGTTTAGCTGTAAGCTGCTATAACCAACTAGGGATTATGCGATATTATCAATATCAATGCATATAAATATTTTTGTTTTGATATTTCCGATATTGTATCGATATTGGGGTTTCGATAATATCTCAATATCAAAAGAATTTTGTTGATATCGGTTCTCGATATTGAATTTTCTAAGTTTATGTTTTAGTGATATCATAGACAAAAAGAATTAAATATAGACCGTCAGCTGTGCTGCGGTTACCATAGGTTCTGGCGCACACCGCTTGGAGCACCACGGTAGTTACGGCGTACGCGCTACGTAAACTACAGCGGTGTGCGCCGGAACCTATGGTAACCATGGCATCCGCAGCACGGCTGACAGTCTATATTTCATTCTTTTTGTCTATGGTGATATCAACATACCTCACGGCCGCCTTTAACTCCAGGCCGCAGCCTTCGAAGTGGCAACGTCGCAAGTGGTGTTGTAACAGCTGTTTTGTTTGGAAGCAGCTAATGGTATTTGTGTAGTTGTGAAAGATTGGTTACTGGGCTATGACAATATTAACTCCGCTTAAAATGTAGGCTACAGATCTAGATTTTTAATTTAAATTGTTTCGGTTTTCCATTCTGTATGTTTTATTTTCAATATTTTAATAAATTTAAATCAATAGAGTGCGAATTAATGAGCTGATGTCACCTGTCTGCCATGTTATCTTATGGGACGTCTGTAACTAAACAACACCACTTGCGACGTTGCCAATTCTACCAGTCCGCGGCCTATAGTTAAATGTGGCCGTGCATACCTTCTTATCGAGTTAAGTTATGTACAAGATAAAATCCACACTAATATGGGAATAGCTGGTTATACTTTTTGTGGTAGAAGAAACTAAGTTAGTAGCAACTGATTTTTATTGCTGGAGTGTTGGTTGTGCTGTCAGCAGTGGCGGCGATAAGAACCCGCGGACCCCCCCGCAAGTTTATTCGCCGGGCCCCCCTCTCCCAATGATCTTTAAAAACATTTCCCCATGTATTACCGCTTAAACTTGCAATTTTGCAATAAACTTGACAAAGGATCTCCCGAGGCGTCATTATCGTCTTCCACGATCGCGGCAAAATCGTAAATACTTCCCCGTAGTCATAAGTCATGGAAGAAACATTATCATAGTTTACCGTGATTGCAAATGCAACCAAACCTATGGCATCATTAGATAGCAGCTTCATCGTCTCCTGCGTTCACGGCCCAATCTAATATCACGGCCTAATATCTCCCCGCGACCCATCGGTGGTGACGGGTAAATCATTTTTCCGTAATCGCGGCTAAATCCTAGATTATATTTCTCGCTAAAAAAGAAACGTCATTATCGTCTTCTGCAATCGCGGCAAAATATTGAACATCTGCGGCCGCGGAGACATCGTCATCGTCACCCGCGGGGAAATGTTCTCGTCAATATCCGCGATCGCGGCAAAAGCGTAGGTATAATATTTTAATTTTGTGAGCAAGATCCTCAAGAATATAAAAGCTATTACTTTTAATTAATTGTGCATTATTGTATTGAATGCTGAGAAAATCGGCTTGGGCTCGATTTTCTGACTTAGTGCTTGATCCCTCAAGCTTGTAGTCCAGGCTCTGCTCGGCTCGAAAATCAACATTATAGGCTTATTATAAAAATCAACCGTTCCCAAAGAAACCCGAT